CCTCCCTTCGCCGCGCCGGCCTCGCCCGGCCGTGCGGTCTCCTCCGGCCTGCGGGTCTCCCGCGGCCCCCCCCGCCCCGGGGTGCAGCGGTCGCGCTGTGTGGCCGGTCCCCTGCGTGCGGGGCCCTTTGCACGCTCATCGGTGGTGCACCCCGCGCTTTGCACGCGTGGCCGTGCTGTGCTCGTGTCGCCCTGCGCCGTGCACGGGTGTCCCCATCTTCAGGCACCGTCCTGTCACGCGTGTTGCCTGCACCGCAGCTTGCACAGCTGTGCCGTGCATTTGCAGGAGTGCATCTTAGCTCTGTGCGTGTAAGTCACTGCAGCTGAGCTGTGCAGTCACGCACGCATGCATTTTGCTCAGCTTTGCTCTGCGCGGGTACGTACACATGCTGCTCCTGTTTGTGCACCTGTGTTGTGCACAGATGTGCTCGCTTTCCAGAAACGCTCATCTGCGATGCACACGTGCCTGTGTGTCCCTCTCTGCGCAGCTGTGCTGTTGAATACCCGCTGGTTTTCCCCTCTGAGCGTACCTGCTTCTGAGGACCGCATGCAGCTGAGCTGCGCTTGCATGTATACCTGGAGGATGCCAAATTCCCTTCACTTCTGCCTTCCTTCCCTCTGCCCTCCTGTAACCCCCCAACCCGGACAAACAGAATACCTTCATCATGTATTTCTCAATACATAGCTCACCTATAATGAAGGCTGTGCATTTCTTACATCTTAAAATAACCCTCTGAAATTATTGAGCGCTTTTAAGATGAGCAAAAAAACTGAGCTTGTGTGCTTTGCTAGATAAAACAAGCTAGTGTGGCTGGGATTAAAATATAACTGTTGTTTCCTTAAATTGTTGGACTCTGTTTTTCAGGTGTGTCAGCCCAGTCCTTCCTTCACTGCTTTACACTGACTAGCTCTGCTTTTAATCTGCAAGTTGCGACTCCTGGGGTAAGTAAAAATGGGCAGTTACTGTGATCTCAGTCTGAAACCAATTGATATCTCAATTGACAAGAGCGAATTATACTAAACTCTTTTTGAGAGGCGTTTTATTTGCTTTACAGATTAAGGGACTTTTTTTAATTCTGTTTTCTTAATATTGAACTGAATGCATGCTTCCTATAGTATGGTTCTAAATGTCCCTCCCACAAAGAGTGGAGGGAGAACCATTAGAAGAACTGCTTCAGTGGGAAAAATGGAAAACTTTGGGTTTTTGAGAGCCAAAGTCTCTCAAAATTCCATATGGTTATCCTTCAAGAAACGTAGCGGATGTCTGTGCAGTGATCCTAACCACAGTCTTTGAACCGTGTTTTCCCTAGGGGAAGTCCATTGATTTTGTGGATGTGAACGAGAGCAACATGCGCTGGATACAGGACTTTCGTATGAAATCCTACGCGAACCCTGCCAAGTTGGAGTCGATTGATGGTAATGGCTTTACTGTTGCCCAGTGCGTCATCTCCATTTATCAGGGAAACAGATGCTTCTTAGTGGTAGGTCTTTAGGGAAGAATGACACAGAAAAGGCATAAAACTTGTGTTTTAAGAGGAAGTCTTGGCAACTACAGTTGCTATTTTCTTATTTATCTTGGATTGGTAATTCTCTTATTATATATATACACAATATATATTCTCTCATATATATATACACACACTACATATTGTTATTTTTTTAAATAAATATTTTGCTAAAGTAGAAGCTAGCAGACATAGTGGTTCTAAGCTTTGCCTGGGTAAGAATGTCTCATTAAAAATGTATGTTCTTTGTCCTGAAAAGGACCTTTTTTCTCTACTCCACATAGATCTGTTAGTTTCTTTAGTTCATTCAGTTTATACAGTTTTTGACTGATTGATGTGGTATTATCTTGTCAAATCTGAAATGAGTTTATGATCAGGCTTTCTTGTATGTTTCTTGTATTACAATTAGTTTATCCTTTCCTCCTTACTAGGTGCTCGATACCATGCGTTGCTCATTCCAAACTGTCCTGGGGCTATGACTGACCTTGCAAACAGTGGGTACCTGGCTAAGATACTGCAGCACTTCAGCACTGAGAACAGTAGGTGAACACCATTAGATATTTTGTTAAATAAAATAGTACTACTGTACTGTTCATGTATGACTGTTACCTTCCAATGACTTAAATGTTTACACAGTTGAAGAGCATTCAGAACTGGAAAGAGCTGCTTTAGAGAAATGTATCTTCTCTTAAAAAGTATGCACTTTAGGTAAACGTATAAAAAAAAATTCAGTAGCTTTTCAACGCTTGTGTCAGAAGAGGGTTCTCTGCCTTACAGCGATACAGAAATGGCTCTTTCCAAGTCAGTAGGATTCAAGGTTCAGAGCTGAATGTGGAATATACCAGGATCATGATTAAGGCTGTAGTTAATCAAGACTTGTGTGTGCTTCTCATTTACCGTTGGAGTATGTGTTTTTCTTTTTGACTGGTGCTGTCTCTGGACTTGGAGTTAACAGCTAGTAACTCTTTGGCAAGACTGGGGCAATTCTTATTGTAGTGTGCGGGGAAAAACCTGACAGCCTGAGAGAGTATAAACAGTGCAGTGTTATTTTATTGCAGGAAGGCAACATGCTGTAACATGAAGAATCTCCGTAACACTCATTTGTGTTTTGACTATTTGAAGATGCTCACAACTGCTCAAATATGCTTTGATTTTTTTCTCTAGAGCCTATCTGTGCGGTTGGACATGGAGTTGCAGCTTTGTGTTGTGCCACCAATGAGGACAAATCCTGGGTATTTCAAGGATACAGCCTGACAGGGGTAGGTTGAGCTTTCACCAGACTTTTGCTGTTTGGGGGCTTTTTTGCTGTGCGGGGACCTGTGATTTCAGGTGCTGGTGTTTCTGGTCTTATCCTAGAACTTCCTACAAATAAAAATCATCATTTTGGTACCCTTGGTTTATGTGCAAGATATGGAGAGTTGTCATTGGCAAGGGGGCCCAACACAGAGTGCATGAAGGGATTGTCTCACTTCGGCTGTCGTGTGGAGAGTGTTTTCCTTCCCGTTGTTCTGTATACTTTAAACTGAATCAGTAAAATGCTGGGAATGACTGCTGCAGCTCTTCGGAGTCATAGCTGAGGGTTTTTAAGAATTACTGTTTTGGTTTCATGAATGCTGGAGGTAAGTTATATTTCTCAAGGTGCTCTTTCCTTTTAAAAGGTAGAGGAAGCTTTAGGAAAAAGGCTGTTAGTACAAACTGGCTTGTAATTCAAAAAGTGGGCAGACGCTGTTGACATTTTTTTAATGTATAGTCATATCTCTGACCTCACAGACCATTTCTATGGCAGTTGTACCTGTGCGCCAAGAAGATGCAAACCTCTATAGTACAACTTCTAGACTTGAAAATTTACATGCAAAGTTAAGAAATTAAGTTCATGAGACTCACAAAAGCTATCAATGTCCTGTTGTGCTTGTATTTGGCATTACAATCCGTGATAAAATATTTTAAATAAGGCATGATGTGGCCTAGCTGTAGCTGCTATAGAAACCATAAAATTCAATTTCCCCCTGTGCATATAAAACCTGAACTAAGTACTCTTAATTTTTCTCCCTTCACTTAAGCTGCTTCCCATATTCATTCCAAAGCAGAGTACTGTTATTTGGACTCTGCAAGTGGCACAGCTTTTGTCTCCAAATGTTTGTGTCCAACAGCCAAGAAGGTCTCACTTCCATGAAGTTAACTGCATGCACACTGTTCAGTGTCCAGTTGATGTGCAGAAATCGCTTGGTGTCATTCTTTCTTTGTCTCACTTAAGAATTTTCAGTTTGCTCCCTACAGAAGGGAAAATCCATAGAAGCTGCTTGTGGTCATTTGGTTTTGTGCTTCATTTTTGTTTCGTTTCCTGTAGTTGGGAGAATCGTAGGGGGAACAGAAAAATAAATTGCAGGGGGAAGTACGTGTTGGTTTTGCTTGGCTCTTTTAATAAAAAGCAAGACAGACTTATTTCCTTTTGATCTTTTTCAGCCCTCTGTGTATGAACTAGTAAGGCAGCCTAATTTTGCCAGTCTGTCCATTATTGTGGAAGATTTTGTGAAAGACTCTGGAGCTACGTTTAGTGGTATGTCATTCTCTTGTCCAGGACTTCATGTCGTCGCGGCTGCGTTTTGGAAATGAATGTTTGTGTGCCAATTTTACACAGCTGAAGAGGACTCTGACAGGAGATCTCATCCTGCATTCCCATTTCGTGGATGTAAACAAACACTCATTTCTAATCCACTAGGGTGTTTTAAGAATAAATGCCACAAAATACCGTGTGTGGGGAAGTAGGGCAGCACAGTACAGCGCACTGATCTCTGGTTGTCCACGCATACTCTTCTACCCCATGGTAAACATGAGGTCGCTTGTCCTGCTGTGAAGGAGGAACATGTACTGCAGGGAGGGGTGTGTGCAGGAGAGTTGCCATCTATCTGCAGATGCACGGCCCATACGTGCAGGGGAATGTCTGTACGTAGGTAGTGTGCTGCAGCCGCTTCCTTGCTGCATGGCAGGGAACGTGTGCTCTGCCGCGAGAGGTTAAGTTCTGGATTTTGGGGTTGTCTTTTATTCAAGTAAATGCTTCATTGTTTAAAGCTGGAGGCACTATACTGAATGTTCTTGGTTGCTCTGATTAGTTGTCTCTTACCATCGAGTATTTTACTTGTAGCTAGATCTGTTTTTGTAGTATTTTCTTGTTTTGTTACTAGCTAGATCTGGTTTTGTAGTATTTTCTTGTTTTGTTACTAGTAATTTCATTATTATTAGTCAAAATGTAGAAGTTTGACTTTTGAACTGCAAAATCTGAAGTTCTGCCCTTTGTGAGAAACTAAATCCACTAAAGCACAAAACTGTCACTTTTTTCCTAGATTATTTCTGGATGTGCAGGGAAAAGTGTCATTTTCCTTTATGTGCTGCTTTCTTGCAATACTGAAGAGCTACAGGGAGAATTAAATAATAAGCTATAAATGGCTCTATTCAGTTGCAGCTGTCATTCAGTGCTATTTTGTTAGGTAATTTTTTAGAATCTGTCCTTAAAGAGAACAATGAGATGCCCGTGGTATTTAAGTCATCCTTTATTTAACAGAATAGTGCCACCCATTGAACTGATACAATTTGCAGTTGCCAGATTAGAGACAGCACACATGGCACGGGCAGGAAACAGAACCAGGCTCCTAATGCCATGCATCTATTTTTCACTAAGAAGAAATGCCACTGTCTTATCAAATTGCTGTATATTCTTTGCTTAATCCTCTTCCATCTGTGCCGCTGTCAGCCTGTTTGTGTGTTTAAATGGTACCTTTATGCTTTTCGAATGAGCTGCTGCCTCCACCTTCTGCATAATGGGTTCAGTACTGACGGTTTAAAAGCTGGTGTCTGTGGTACCTGTTATGTCACGTACGCTTGGTTGCGGTGGTACTGACAAATCAAGCAAGAAGAAAAGCATGTGGGGTTTGAAGGCACTTAGCTTGCATTTAGACAGCCAGTGGCTGGGAGAGGAGAAGAAAGTAAGAGTTGTTCATTACTGACAAAATAATGGTTCTATCTGGGATGAGGTAATTTAAAAATACTGGTTGGAATACTGGACAACTGCTGGCAGATATTAACACGTCAGGCTATTATAACTGGCCAGAAAAGAAGTATTTTCCTGCAGGCTCTTTGTAGCATGGTGATTACAACTTTGATGTCTTACATAAGAGCTTATATTGTATTGCAGGGTAATTACAGCTCTAAAATATATACTTTGAGGTTTTTATTATGAAAATCTCTTGATATATGCACTTACCTACCTGATGTTAATTGAATCAAGGGACCAGTCCTGCTGTCCTTTCAGAGAAGGATTTTCTAGTGAAATTGTTTCAGGATTGGGGGCTCAAGATTGTCCCTGTCTGTGGGGGTTATAGATCAGCATGTCAGTCACCCAGCAAATCTGTCTGGTCAAAACAGAGTTAGTTCTATCAGAGCTGTGATATTGAAACGGAATTAGTGTCCACTAACACAATGCTTGCTGCTTTTTCTCCTTTATTTAGCCAGCAATCCTGATGCTGTACATGTCGTGCTGGACAGGCACCTGGTGACAGGACAGAATGAGAATTCCACTCTTCCTGCGGTCCAGAATCTTCTTATTCTTTGCAACGTCAGGTGAGGCAATATGGGAGGTAAGAATGAGGAACAGACAGTGGTGAGCATCTTTCAGTTTCAGGAATATTGTCCTCCAAAAGAATTTTTTTGCCTAGGTTAACTGCTGAAGTGTGTGTCGCCTTTGATCTAGCTATTCAGTTGGCTATGTCTTTTGGTAAAAAGCATTTGTGATTAAAAAAAGAGGTAAAATGGGTTGGGAAATGCACCGCTATCTATCAGAACTGGTAAAGTAAAATGCAGAATAGGCTTCACTAAGCATTTCTGTTAAGAGAAACATCTCTTGTGCGTTGTTCTTTGTGCTTTGGCAAATTAGCATTTAGTCAGCTATGTTTTATGATTCTGGGAATGAACAGATTTAATTTCTTCGGTAATGGCCTGGCTGTTTGACTGTCTGTCATCTTGTCAGATAGAAGAACACATAAATAACCACAAAAAATGTTCTTTTGTTCAGGTGAATGTGTGTTAGAAGTCCTTTCCTGGCTGTGGACTAACAGGTTGTGTCATGTTTGGATGTGTTTCATTCAGCAGGAAATGAAGGAGCAGGTCTCTTTGCAAATAGGATGGATGAAGAGCCAGCAGGCTAAGGATTTTCTTGTCTGTTAACTGGATAAAACATGCCTCTAAATTTCTGTCCTGGACTATGAAGTGACTGTGACAGTCAAGTGGCAATGTCAGGTTTTGCGTATATAGAATGGATGAAGGTTGTGAATAAGAAAACTTTGAAGTGCATCACACTTCAGAAGCAACTATGAAAACCACCTTGCATTTTTGTTGCTACATCTTTTTTCACTGCTTCTTTCTAGACTCTTAATTTACAGATGTGGGGAACTGTCTTTTTAAAAAAAAAGTTGATGCTCTGAATACAAATTGCTGAAGCTGAAGGCCTTGCTCTAGGTTGACGTTATTCTGATTGTTAGTAACTCTGCCCCAAAGAGCCCTTGGAACTCTGTGAACCATCTGGTGTTTGTTTCAAATATCAAAATCTACACCTAGAGCTCCATCGAAATGCAATTTCAGATGCATTCTCACCTTTCTTTTGGTAGGTCACAAAGTTAACTGTCCGAACTCTGAATGTGTCTGGGACACTTGGATATACTTGGAATAGGATGGAAAATGCTTAGCTAAACTCTGAATAAAGCAGTACCAGTTGTTTGAAGGCTGAGCAGCATAATGTGCCCTTGTTTTCTTCCTTGCCTATTCACATTATTGGACTTCTGTTTAAAAAGTTTGCTCAGCTGTTTTTAAATGGTCTTCTATGTGGTTATCTGTTCTCCTTTGGTGCTTATGTTACGACTTCTGTTTGAAATGTTTGAAATATTTCTCTCTGGCAAGTACATTGCGGTTGTCTCTTGCTGGAATTTCATGGACAAAGAAAGAAAAAATGTAGGCAGCTAATGCGGATCACATCTTCTGAGGAACCAACTGTAAGATGAAATCTGGCCTTCTCTTTCCTTTTCCTGGTCAAACTGAGAAGCAGGCCAGTGAAGTTTATCGCATCCCAGGCACCTGAGCAGCGATATTTCTCCTGAGTTTGTTTTCCAGCACTTGACTTGAAATGTCATGCCTTAAAATGGCATGTACTCTCCTCTCCCTGGTTGTAAGAATACAGCATGCTCAAACTGCTCAGCGGCCCAATTTTAAATACTTTTCTTACCCAATTATGCATAACAAGACTGTGACAAAAAAACAGCAGCTAGGTTTTGGGGGGGGGGTGTGGGCATTAGCATAGATGAGAAATGTTGCTTCTTACTGCCTTGTGCCTGTTGACCTTTATCAGTGTCTTAGCTTTTGTGGTATGGTTAGTGTTGTCTCTGCTTCACCACCATGCATGCTACTCTTTAGCTTAAAGTTAATTTGAATGTAAAGATATGTGTTTATGATCTGTCTAGTGATGTGGGTTAGAAATCATGTATAACTGGTGAGAAATCAGCTAGAGGCAGTATCGGGAGTCCTCAAAACATGCCAGCTCTTGACATACTCATTTAGCACGTGTTCTGCAGTGTCATGCTTTTCCCCTCTACCTGGCTTGAGCGTAGCAATTTGAACGCTGCAGGGAGATTGAGCTTTTGGCAATGCTTGCAGATGCTTGGTGTTTCACTGTCTGTGATCAGTTGCTTATAGAAGATTCTGGCATTTAAACCACACGACAGGCCCTTTTGTACCAAAGCCAGAAACTGCTTCTCAAACAAATGGAAAGCTTCAAATTCTGGATTTTCAACTCGCACAAATCCTGATCGTTTCAGTGTTGCGCTCTGGAGTGCTTGCTGCTTTGGTCCTAGGGATGTTATCAGCCAGGCTTATTTCCTTAGAAATCTGTCTGTTTCTGGTAACATTGAGCTGCTGATTTTTTTTATTTAGGGAACCACACAGATGAAGAGTGTTACATCTTGTCTGGACTTAATGCATGGGAGCATATTCTGTATTTTCCTCTGATGTTCTTATGGGCAGACATTGAAGTATCTGCTAGAAGCATCCCAGTGCCTCTGCAATACATGGAGCAGAAACATTTGTGGGATGAATCCAAAGGGAAAAGGGGCTTTCTCAGATGATTTATCCCTAGGATAATCTTTACAGCAGTTGGCTCACAGCTGTAGAGAAACGTTCCTGTATTGCACCCCCACAAAGGATGTCTCCACCAGCAAGAAGACAACATTTATCACTGTGCATCCCAGCACCACACTCACCACTAAAGCTGTGTAGTTGGTCCCTGCAGGGAAGAAAGGAAAGGTAGAGAACATCTTTAAGGTAATAGGAGCCTTTACTGGCAGTTTTACACATAAGTTGTGAAGAGAGATGCTCAAAACACTTAAACGCAAAACATTTGCAAACTTAGAGTGAGCCCCAAGACCTGCTTGTGGGTGTGATATCAATTTTGATACTTCTTACTTTTTAATTCAATTTAAGTTTTGGCTGTAACAATAACGAAAAGGTCTTCTTTCTAGTTTGACTAACCTAATGTTTACAGGGCAAAAGAGATTGAGTGACATGAAAGGTGATGAGGAATGGCCAAATCCCCAACAGCCTGGGCTTTGATCATGAGTTCTCTGTGCTACCATACCTCTCCTATAGCTTGATACTGTAGCTGCAGCCAGTGGAGGTAGCTTAGATCCTCTGAATCCAGAGAAGGTGTCAGAGACAACTTGGGCAGACTCAGCTTTTCTGATGAGAGGAAGTGTTGTCTCTTCAGAACACTTAACAAAGCATTTGCTTGTTTTAAGGGATCCCTTACAGGATGTTTGAACTCGTTCCTTGTTACCATCTGCAGCTAATGATTGTTAGTCATACTAGCATTCCATTAGTGTATTAATGTTTAAATAAGATTCTTTTCCTGGAACTTCCACAGTATAATCTTTAAAAAAATAAAAAATTGAACCTTCTGCTTTATTCATCTTAGGTACTGTGTGGTAAGCTCTGCCATTTAATTCTGGGTATCAGAGTGCTTTTCTGTTTAAACTGATTTCTGTTCCATTGCTGATGGAACAGCCCTTTTGGCTTTGTACAGGATTGATTGTCCACTTTCCTTAGTGTGGACTACTGTCAGCTTTGAGCTCCCTTGTAGGCTGTTGCACAGTTAACTGAGAATCACTTGGCTTTGCTTGTGTGCTTGCCCTAAACAACAGCAGTGAGCCAAGCGGGGTAATCCTGGTAGGACTGAGTCCCACAGCTCTCTAAGAAATGGCCTGGCTGCTGCACCTGTCGCACCACTGTCCCAGAAGGCTACACTAAGTGTATTGTGTCCTCTGTAGTGCTAGAGTGTTCTCTACAGGAAAGTGTTTAATGCTAGCAAGAGATAAAAGGAGCCTTTTGTCAAATGCAGACTTCTAGGTCTGTAGGGCATTTCAATTTCAGCTCGAGGGTTGGTGTGTTCCCTCAGTTTCCCTGTCTGGGATCTCCCTGTTGTCCCCTAGGATGCAGAAGACAGTGTTAAATGCTGACCTGTCATCCTGCTGGGACTAGGCAGCCGGGAACACTGGGGCACTACTTTCTCATCTAGTGCCAATGCATCAAAACAAGTATCAGAATAAATGGAAATGACTCTTTGATCCTGATTTGCTTTAAAATTTCAAATGGTACCTATTAGATACTGTCTAGCTCGTTTAGTGTAGTCTGTAATAGCCTATGATGGCTGCACTTGATAGTCCTTATAAACGAATCTTTAAGGACTAATTTGAAAGTGAAATTCTATGTTGGGAGGCTGAAAATAAATTAATGTACTTACTATGTCAGTTTTGTGGACCCTAGTGGCTGTTTTCCCAACAGCTCTGCTATCCTGTACCTCTCCTCTTGCCACCCTTGTTTTAAGAATACAGGAAGTACTGAGAGCAACTGTTGGGAGCAGTGGCATATCTCCCTTAGCACGTTGCATTGTGGAATGCAAGAGGAAGCTGAAAGAGGAAGGAAAAGCTTCCCCCTCTGCCAAGCTTTGCGTGTTTACATAGAGCTGCATGTTGAAATTGAGAGCTGCCACCACGAGGGAAGGTTGATAACTTTGCATTTGTGCTCATCAGTTAGTTGCTGCTCTGTGAATCTTGGAAAGGAGGAGGTGCCGTGGGATGTTGCAGCCTCCCCACAAGGTGGTGGTACTGCTCCAGGCAGAGCTTTGCGTCCCTCCTCAGACACCAGCGAGCTCCATCCCCAGGCACCAAGTGTGAAGATGTTACTTCCCTCTGGCGAATTCCTGAGGAAGGGCCTGCTACTTCTGTGTACCTGTGCCGGGCAGGTGGGCTGCAGCTGAGAGAGGAAAAAACCTGGGACACCACCCAGGGCTGCAGTAGCACAAAATGCATATTGGCACAGGGTTATATACATTAAGCTGCGCTGTAAGCAACAAGCTATTCCCATGGCTTCCCAGTAATCTGTGACCATAGGGTCTGCTTTCCCATGCTCCTCTTTTCTTAGGAGGATGAGGGCAGCATAGTTAGAAATCTTGTCATGAAAGCCTCAGTCCTTTGTCATCTCCTAAAACATGTGCTAATGCTACCCTGCATTTCCTTAGAAATTATCCCTCCTCAGCATCACCTGTTACTAAACCCTCTTTCTCCCCGAAGGTCTCCACTTTGCAGTTTTTCTTTGTGTAAAACCAAGGGCCAACCCTGAATTGTAGCAGATTCTTTTAAGTTGTTCATGTCTAATCTTGAACAACTGAGTAAAATTTAAATAGGTGTGCTGTCACTGAAGGAGAGTTTGAGCCTGTGGAGTTGCTCTGGTCTCTTGATCTCCTAGATCAAACACCAGCGATACAAACTGGAGTTGTGTATCCCGGGGAATAAGAGACAGGACTTGTGCTGTAGAGGTGAAGCTGAATTCCTAGCTTAGGCACAACGTCCCTAGCCAGTAGTGCAGTGTAACACCAGACTGAGTATCAGACTGCATCTGAGTGGTGTGGACTGTAGCAAGATAAGAGTCCCCTCTGCTTTCTAGAAATGCTACATTTCCTTAGACAAAACTGTGCCTGGAGGGTGCTGTGATTGTGTGGATTTCACAGGACAAATGGGAGTCCCCTTTGCAAATACTCATACTTTGTATGATCCAAATACATCTGAGCTCAGACTGTAACTTAGATCCCAGCGGTAAAGCAAAAACAAAAAACCAAAGGTCAGATTGTAAGCTTCCTTCAAGTATGCTGAAATCAAAATTGAGCAGCAGGGCCCACGATGGCCTCTAACAATCCTCACCCTGACAGCATAGTGGCCGTTAAACACACAGAAGCCTGACAGGGCCTCCTGCAGTTGCTGTTTTTCCCAGGAGATGTTCACAGATGCTGGGCAGATATCCTCTGTGAGGCCCCATGTGTGCAACCCTGAGGGACTCGGGACCTGCAAGTCCCTTATCCTGCGGAAAGGCAAGAAAAGAGTGTTGGATGCTGAGGGTCATGGTGTGCTCACATCAGAGCTGGGCTCCTGCATGGACCACAAAAGCAAACCAGCCCTGCCATTGGGTTGGTCATGAATTGCTTGCCCTTTCTTTGCTTTCTGGATGGTGGAAGGGTTTTACTTACTTTTCTAGCAGAAGAAATTTTCTCTTCAAATATAAATGCTGGGTCATACAATTTCTGTATAAAGTTTCCAAGACTTCCAGGCTAAAGCCATGAAGCCCAGCAGCCCTGTAGAGAGCAGCTAGAAAAGATGGAGCCTGACCCTGCCTCACCCTGGGGTGGGAAAC